TCACATTATCACTTCGTATTAACCATGATTTCGCCTTTACGTCGTCTTAAACAAATGAAGCGATAATAATTCTGCCCTATTCGGCCTTGTTCTGACGCTCAATCAGGATTTACATTCCATCTGCAACGGTTCACTTGTCTGAGAATATAATGGAACCGCTGCTGCGACCTAAGTGTTTCAACACAGACCCCAATTCTCCAGACGCCACAGCACGTCCGAATCACTAGTTCCGAACCCTCCTGGACATTGTCGAATCGCCTAACCAAAAAAAAAACTCGAAAATTTGATGCATTTTACGGATTGCACCCGATTTCGAATCCACTATCAGTCTGAAAAGTTATACGTCCGTCTTCTTCTACAAACATGCAAACAAGATAGCAGTCAAGACGTTGATCAGTTTGTCCAAAGGCTGAAATGCTTGGCCAAAAATTGTGACTTCAAGGCGGTATCCGCCACTGAACATCAAAACGAAAGTGTACGCGACGCTTTGATCAACCGACTTTAGCCTGTTACTATCAAAGAAAAACTTATGGCTTAAAATGAACTGACTCTCGATGACGCACATGAATTGACTAGGTCATTAGAATTGTTCTACAAACAACCTCAACCATACTCGCATAACCAACCGATGCCATTTTCTGTAGCACCTTTGTAGACATTTGTGCCTACACCGTCACACTCAAACACCCCTGATTCCACACCTTACCTCTTGTCAATCAATTCTCATATGCTATTTTTGCCATCGTTCCAGGCATCCATGATCAGAATGCCCCGCAAGAGAAGCGGTTTGTAAATCATGCGGCAAAACAGGTCATTTCCAGCGCGTTTGTCCTCACGCTCACTCAAAATGCACGGCTGATTCTGTATTATATTCTCCGTGGACTGCTGCAGCTGCAAGCTGTTTTTTTTGCACGGCGACCAGCATAAAGATAAACGGAACCTAGCTTCAGGCCCTCATAGACACAAGAAGTTCGGACAGTTATATATCTCCTTTGGTAGTCCGTCCGCATGACTGGAAGATGTGTGTTAACGATTCTCTGATTATCAAGGCATCTAAGTCTCTGAGATGTTCACCTAGCAGCTACTGCCACGTATCCATCAAGCACAAAGGTATTATTTACAAAAAAACTACTGGTGCTACCCAATCTATCTGCTGACGTGCTGCTAGGCCACGACTTCCTTGGTCTACATAACAAGGTTGAAATCACCTTCAGTTGCAACCGAGGTTCATGCGCCCTCTGTGGTTGAATCACCACCTTTTGCAAACCTCACATCACTGCAAGCCTATCGCCACGAAATCACGGTGTTATAGCCCTGACAATGAACAGTTCATTTGCTCTGACCGAACATTGAATGAAGCTATGATTGAAACTTCGAGTTCTCGCTGGAAAGCTCAAGTACTGTTCCCAAAAAATTCAAATCGCTAAAGACGTACGATAATGGACTACAGTCAAACCATTAATAGGTTCACATATCTAGACGCTTATCCGTTACCGCGACTGAGTAAAATAATTGAAGAAATTTCCCGCCATGTTATGTTCAGCGCCTTAGACCTATTGAGTGCTTACCATCAAAACCCAATCAGCGCGAAAGAAAAATCGTATATGGTTTTTGAAGCATTCGGGAAATTGTTTCAGTTCCGTCGTATTCCTTTCGGTGACCAAAGCAGTGGCATGCTTTCAACGTACTATTGACACCTACGTTTAAATTGACAACGTCACTGCTCATGGGACCACCCAAAGCTAGCACGACAGAAACCGCAAATCTTCCTATGAATCAATAAAATTATGGAATTACCCCTAATTGCAAAAGCATTATAGTAGCCAAACATATACACCTTCTTGGCTATGAAGTCTCTGAAGGAATTACTAAACCAAATCTGGAACAAACGCACCCTATTCATCAACTTCCTCATCCACATGGTGTTAAATCCCAACAAGTTTTGGCATGTTCACCTAATATTCGCAGTGGATACCAGACTCCCCTGACAAAATCAGAGTGCTTGTCGGAAATGAGGCTTCTCACCGGAGCGTCCTCCGAAAATTTGAAGTTAGGGAACGCTGTGGTCGTGGCAGTCGACTACAATGCACCCTTGGTTATCGAGACGGGCGTCTCAGACATGGCTGTAGCTGCACCTTCGACTCAGAACGACGGAATCTTTTCTAGAACATTGACACTGCTATTCAGAAAGAGACATAAACCACCGTTGAATCTAACCCTAAATTGAAAGACTATATCTTCGGGAATCACTTCAAGTAAGAAAAGTAAGATGAAAAGCGATAAAATTCAGCGATGGAAAATGGAACTCCCCGCTTCTAGCTAGGATGTCAGCTACAGACTTGGAAAAGATAATCTACTGGCTGATACCTCATCGCTTAATCCATACGCTAATGAGATCAGCAATCATAAATTAGAAGAAAATAATGATTACTTGTGCCATTCCAGAATTAATTACATTCATCATTCCAAAAAACGTGCAGTTTTCCCTCCAAAATGTCAAAGACATCATCACAAAATGTACGGCTTGTGTCGCCATCAAACCGCAATTTTACAAACCATCCGCCCCCGATGCGCTGATCAAAGCGACTCAACCTTTCGAACAAATTAGCATCGATTTTGAAGGACCCTGCATTCTGTTACTCGAAACCGATATTTCCTCACTGCCGTTTTTCTGTTTTCCGTTTACCTTTCCATGCGCAGATATATGTGCATCTACCGTTATTAAATGTCTATGTGAGTTATTCTCTTTGTCTGGTATGCCTGCATATGTATATTCCGATCGTGGCTCCCCATTCATGACTGACGAACTGTCCACATTCCTACATGACAGCGGTTTCCATTAGCTGAACAACTGATTATAGTCACCAGGAGAACGGGAAGGTGGAACGCCTCAACAAGACACTCTGGAGCACAATCCTTCTCAGATTCAAGACCTTCAAATCTGGGAGTCGGCTTTATCAGATGCCTTCCACTATATACGGTCCCCTCTCTGCATCTCCACATAAAGAAACGTTTCGGCTTGGAACTCGGCCATCCTGTGGTTTACCTATACCAACTTGGCTAATTACACCAGGACCTGGTTTGCTGATAAGATTTGACCGTACCTCAAATTACGAACCAATCGATGAGGAAGTCGAACTTATAAATTGCAACCAACATCCCTCCTATGTTCGTTTTCCCGGCGGAAAAGAAGTCACTGTATCTGTCCACCATCTCGATCCTTGTGGTGACCGCACATATGTCTACAAGTTTACGCGCACCTCAACCAGTGAAGGCAGTGACGCACGTACACCCTTTCTATCTGACGCACGCGTCTCCGCTCAGTAAAGTTAAAGATTATGTCGATCATACCTCAATTTCATCCGGGTGTCTGGTTGACGCACCTGTATCTTCAAATAAATGTGACCCCGGCATCACTGATTTGGCCAGGCTCCAGCAACGTAGGCGACCCTATATTTTAGGAAACCAAGAAGCCTGACCACATCTTTCATTACCCCTTGATAGATTCTTACAAGTAATCTTCATTCAGTCCGTGTCCGAGTAAGCCATTTATATACACAATCCAATGGCTCGAATGAATGTCACGGGTATCATTCGTGCTCACAATATCGCTTCGGACTAACCACGCTTTCGCCTCTACTTTCAACTTATATACGTCTATACTTAGATGAGTAAAGCGCTATTCATTCTACGCTATTCAGTCTTGTTCTCAAGCTCGATCAGGATCTATATTCCATCCGAACATACCTCCAAGCTACCTTGTAATGCGATTTCTCTCAAAATGGCAACTCCCTGTTCTTCGTCAGGCTGCTCCCCATTGGAGTTCCTGGCGTGTTTTGACCAGTGTAACCCGTATTTTCATGGCAGCACTGAAGCCCGACTACCACGACAAGGTGACGGTTCCGGTCTGCCGCACAGGCCATTATGATTGGTTCTGTCGAAACCAGTGGCTTTCTCACAGCCCCAACCTTGTATGAAGCGTGCTTGATTAGTGAAAATGCTGGTGACTAACACGGAGGACCCGACGATCTGACCACCAATGATCTGCGTTATGGAACAAATGAATGATATTCAAACGTGAACAACACGGCTAGCCAGAGAATGTCAGTGAACAGCCATATATAATTTGATTGGTGCGAAAGTCGTTTTCTTGTCGTTACGAGTGTTGCGTCGTGCGTATATTTTACATCTAGGCTTGTAACTGGATCGTTTATTAAGTGCAGCTTGTCGAGTTTGGGTCTCTTGTGTTATTCTATAGGCCTGACCAAATGAGAGATAAATCAACGTAATCAGAATCGCTACCACACGATGCTGGGTGAACAGCCACTAATTCACCACATCGTGATTTTGTTGTAGGTCATGTACGCCACCAAAGCTGACGTGAGGGTCCTCAGCTGGTGTGTTGAGTCCCATAGTTAAGTCTCGCTTCAATTTGTTTAATTTGTCTGCATTTCTATGGGCGGGCCCGGAGTATACTTCACGATAACTGATTCCAACGTTCAGTTATCGGCAGGTTTTCAAAATGGAAAGTCAAAATAGGCACACTGTCACAAAAACTCAGTTCATCATCACGTATCGGTGATACATAGTGGCGTCTAATTACCTTAAAACTGTGAGAGTGGAAGGGCAGGGACTTAGCGCGAAGAAGCTTCATATCCTTAAGGAAGACAAGAATTGATTGACTATAACTTTCGACACGTGTGGTCACCAGGTCCAATTAAAGCACCATCGGCGGGATTGATCCAGCATCTTTTGAGAATCCCATTGAACATGAGCCCAGGGAACAACCAGAGACAAATTTTGGCTAAGCAGTTCGGCTGGGAAATGGTAGCATGCGTACTATCAGGACTGGTTGCGTGCCGTGTCTTGCAGAGATTCCAACCACATTCACGTAAAACCACATGGGCGCAACCAAGTAGGCGCGAATATCCCGTAGTGGTCAGTTTGACTGGAGCCGCTACAATTTTTCGTTCCCACATCATGGTTTATCCCCAGCAAACCTATCACCAACCCATTTGGGACAGAAAACAACTTCTTCATTGGTAGACGGTGGTTGGAAATAAGTAATACACGTCCCAGCCACTCCAACCTGATGGGTCTAATCCGCTTCTTTAAAGCCCCGATTCGTTGCGCACTACCTCGCCGAACTACCTTGCTGCAGCCAGCTAACTCTTGCTTAGCTAAAAAGATACCGGCCATCAAAAGTTTGAAGACGCTTGAGGTCCTCAGAATGGAGGAACCAGGTCTCATAACTATAAAGTGGGACAGCTGTACACTTCCTGTGTGTACACGATCCCCTAGTACCAGTAAATGGAACGTAAATGAATTATCAGTGGACCTTCATTCAAATCAAAACTCTGCCTGAAGCTCACACCATCATCACCAAAGGCAGTAATAGTGGTGTTGGTATTCGTGGTTCGTGGCTTGACAGAAAAAAGAAGAGAAAAAAGCCTATGAGAAAGGCACCTGAAACTAGTCTAACGTGAACACTCCGGGATGCCTACACCACCAGGCGGTCAACCACACAATCTGGATGAACACTGATAGCATGAATTTCACTGATATCGACCAACTGCCATTTCTCACAATGTCTTTAGACGCCGTGGAGGTCACGAGACCCATTACAAAAAGTGGACCGCACCAAAAAACACCCAAATTTTCTGTTACTTGGCCATATATGATAGTGTCTCTAACCATTGATGTGTCTCGTCTCAGGGCCACCATCCAGGGAGAGAGCAATGACGGCGCAGCTGAGTTTGCTGAGTATGGCTTCATACATTGTTGCGAAGTCATCGTTTGGCCTCCCTTGGCTCATTTCCACTCTTCGTAAGGTTGTGCAGAAAGGGCTCCTCAAAGAAGTCGATCAATTGGCATATGGAGCACGTGACCAAGCAAGCGCAACCAAGGGTGTGATCAGCCCTTTACTGTGAGCGAACTGTTTCTTCTAGAAATCATCATCATCGACAGCATGAAATGGGTGTTAAACACCATCACGAAGAGACTGGACCTTACTGTGGTGTGGCGGTTTGTGTACCTCGGCGACTCATTGAGCCATACTAGGGGTGTCCGCGCGACACTCACAGAGTCTCTCATATCAGGTGGGTCCGTGGGTCCAGTCTCCTGGCCCTCCAAGTTGGGGGTTGGAACATGTATAGCGACGTGTTCCATAAAAATCGCGATGTACTCGCATTTCCAGCCCAATACCGCTGTCTTGCGGTTAGGCTTTTGAGCCGAAGACTTTAGTTGAGGATCCTAATCCTCCTCTTGTCTATGTGTGGGCGCCCTCGCAGCGTCCCAGCTCTCGTACAACCATGACATACACAACTAGCAATACTCTCATGCCACATCGGCTGTCGCGTGGTGCCATCAGCCGAGTCGCCCTACTCGCTGCATACAACAGGGCGGGTGAGCCAAAACAGGCAACTACTGAAGCCTCCCTTCCTAAACTTTCACGATTTCCGTCTTCCACCCTCCCCCGCCCAAATTTGAATACTTTCTCCGCAGGTCCCAGCACTAGGACTGACCGTTTTGCTCACCCTGCATCACACTCAGCTGCAGCTTCCGTATGTCCAAGTTCAGTTACAACTCTAAACACTCCGAAGTCTGTTCTCAAACCCCGAAATTCTGTCTGCTTAGCCACCTTAATGTTCGCACTGAAGCAAGCAGGTCAACGGGTGGCTCTTCCTCGTACGCTGGATTCCCTCTGCATTGATGTATGTTGTCTGTCAGAAACAAGGACGCGGGACGCAAGTATTGCAATCGAAGTGACTGTCCCCTCGAGCTCTTCCAGGTTCCGGCTGCGGACCTTTGGTGATGTACATGCCGCTGCAGCTGGATATGCTGGGGGTGGGTATGGTATTGAACGAACGAACGGAGGCGTCTTTGTTTGACTGGATACCCGTTAATAGTCGCCTCTGTGCGGATACAAAGAATGCTGGAAACGTGCGCAAAATGTTCCACTTGATTCATTCGGCTGGTCCTCGGGAACCTCTTCTCAGCGAAATAATTAGGGACCAGAATGGCTCTCTGGTATGCAGCAAAGCAGAACGTTTGGACCGCTGGGCACGGTACTTCGAACAGCAATTCAGCTGGCCACCTGCTACCCCCAATCCAGAAACCCGGCCTTCAACAGAAAGGTGGACCGTAAATATGGAGCCGCCTTCAGTTTCAGAAGTGTCCGAATGTATTTCTCTACTCAATTGTAATCGCGCTGCTGGTCCTGACAACCTTCCACCTGCTCTTTTCAAGGATGGCGGTGGATTCCTCAGCCAGTGCCTGTCTAGCCTAGTTGAGTCTATCTGGGAGGAGACCGTCCCAGACAACTGAGGTAAATCGATGGTGGTGCCCATTTTCAAAAAGGGTACTCACAATAAATGTAGTAACCACAGTGGTATTAGTTTGACGCCTGTTATGAAAAGGCTCCTGGAGTCACTGATTCTTCGTCGTCTCACGGTGACACGCGAAAGCTTGACCCGTGAGAACCAAGCGGGATTTCAACCAGGTGGAGGCTGCGTTGACTACACCTTCACAATCCGTCAGGTTAGAGCAACGCCACAAGTACAGACGACCCACAATCCTGGTTTTCCTTGACTTCAAGGTCGAGTTTGATTCTGTTGATCGATCAGTGTTGTTGACTACACTTGCTCAGCAGGGTATGTCCAAGAGGTTTGTAAACATAATCCGATTCCTATATTCACATACCTCTGGGCGGATGAGAGTGTATGGCGAGCTCTTCAACAGCCTCCCTACAAAAAGTGGTGTCAAACAAGGATGTCCACTCTCTCCATTCTTGTTCAAATTTGTCATTGATGAAATAATGAGACGAACACTGGACGGTTTTCAAAACCCCGGTGTTCAAATTGTTGCTGGCGAGAGCCTTGTCGATCTGGAGTACTCAGATGACATCGCCCTTATCTTTGAAGACCAAAGAGAAGCACAAGCCCTGTTGGATGAACTGAGCACCATCATTCCATCTTTTGGCATGCGCCTTGCACCTTCAAAGTGCAAAGTTAAGCTTCAGAACGTGCCGTCTTCGGAAAGCTTCTCGCTCTTAGACCGAAAATTGGATTGAGATCTACTGTATTTTAGCATCGGCGGCAGATCGTCCAAAAATGTTGAGCATTTGCCCTTGAGCAACTCACTGCTTAGTGCCGTTAGGGGCTTTTGCGTTTTTAACAGTTAAGTTTATCCGCAAATGGTGAAGGCTTTTCTGAAGACCATCCTAAGGTGAGGACAATTGCTTCAGGGCAGGTGCACTAGGTGTCACACACTCCGGCGATTTGTGATCAGACAACCACAGTTTATGGAAGAGGAGCAACTCAACAAAAAAGACATGGATATTGTTTCAAATACTCGGAACGGACTGGCTCCCGAATAGTAGAATCAAATGGACACAGGTAGGCCATATATTTAGGTGGATTGCGCAGATGTATACGGCAGCAGATGCATCAAAATCCTTAAGCGTTTGAGAGCCTGAACTTTTTGATATAGACTAACGTTACCGTGTTATTTATCACTCGATGATAAGGCAGTCCCGATGGGGATGCCCACAAGCGTCCCGAAATGTGCGGAGAGGCATAAGTATTCACTTACTAGGCAACATTTCAACGAAGACTTAGCTGTCAAGGATTATTTTTGATAATAATGTACTGTGCATGCATCTGATATACCTGCACGAGAAGCTCATTCATTTTGGATACCATTTATATAGCATGACTGAGACCGTTTGAAAGGTTCTTCAGTGACAGGTGAATATTTCTATACGACTGACGGTCACGACAGCAAGGTAGAAAAATTGCACTTGTACAGGCCCTCTCAGGTTATATATATATATATACTATATATATATATATATATATATATATATATATATATATATATATATGTATAACCAGACGAAACTTAAGGTTGTATGGCAGTGAAGCATCAGTGCCAACACTGATGTTGCTGTCTTTGATGATGATGCTTCACTTCCAGAAAACTATTCGATGTAATTCAGCACTACTGATCCAGTGTTCCCATCAGATTCGGGCAATGTACGGGTTCCAGCCCACCTAGTCTTGCAGAAGCCCTTGTAACACAAAATTCGTTCCCGCTGCTTCTTCTCAGTCTGGAGTGTAGTACTGAGTTAATGTACTATTTTTAGAAAGATTTCACGCTCTGAATTTGTCCCACCACACTCCACTCACTTGTCTCAAATACTTCGGTAAGTGACAATAATAAGTGTGGTGGGCTCACCTTACAATATGTTCAGATGTTTTCATATTTTTTGGTTCACTGGTCGTCGGATAGACGCTAAACAATCAAGCTACCATATCTGAAAATACTGCGATCCAGTGTCGGCTCCACTGAGAGACCCCACAAACACGCCGTCACCGAGTTGCGCCATATCGTACGCCACCGCACTCAGCCAGGCATTCGGTTGTTCCCCAAAACAACATGATATAACGTGGAACACAAGGCCTGTTCAATGCTTCCAGCCTCGTTTCTGGGCAATAGAAGCCACTGAAGGGGGTTTGGAGAACGGTCTTTTCTTCGCATGCTCCTATTAGATGCCCTGCAACCTCTTCCGGATGGCGAGGTTGGAAACCTTTACTCCATCCGAGTAGGTCCTATTTTTTAAATCACACCTGGCTGCTTCGCCAGTTTGTCTGCTGAAGACAATGAATTGCCTGAATTGTCTCCCGACGCTATTCTACCTTCAGTGGACAGTTTGCCTCTCACGTACTCGATTGGTAGTAAAAATAGTGCTTGCAGGAAGATGGGCTACGAAACGGACGCAATCAGCTCCGACAAACGTTACGAATTCAGTGTCCATGTTGTGTGGGATTCCCAGCGAATAAGAAATTTATTCAGGCTACCTCAACTGAGGTGTTTGGGAGGGCAGTTCACTCCATGAAGAGCAAATATCTGACCCCACAATATTCTGTGCATCCAGTTTGGAACATGTGTAGCTACTTGTTAGCTAAGAATGTAGCTTGCCCCGATGGCCATCATTGCCTTGTGATAAGACTTCTGGGTCTCATAGTTTGGTTGAGGATCGTAATCATCCTTGTCTATGCTTGCGTATCCTGGCAACATTGTTTTACAAATAGCGTCATATCATATCAGCCGTCGCGTTGTGATGTCGTACGGGTCACCTTAATTTCTGCAAACAGCAGGGCGACTAAGCGAAAACGCTCTACTGCTGACGCCTCTTACCTTTCTTTCTCACATGTTCGTTCTACGCCCCTTCCCAACCGTTGCTAGCGGCATACATAGACAACAAGTGTCCTCTTCGGTTACGGCAGCGAAACATCAGTGTTGAACACTGATGTTATGCAGCCGATGATGATGTTG